GCGACCGTCCCAGCCCACGCCCTTCACAATCCTCCCCAATCCAGAACCGCTGAGGAGCCAGGGCGGTGGGGCCGTGCCGGCGATCAGGGCTCTCACTTGCTCTGGCCGATTCGGTGAGCCCTGGCGGCTGCTTGCAGGTCATTCTGAGGATTGAAATCACTGTCGAAAAAAATAACAGTGTCTGCTGCCGTCAAGTTCATGCCGACGCCACCTGCAAACAGTGCAAAAAGGAACGTCAGCTGCAGCTCACGGGCCGGGGACCTGACGATCAGGAGGCAAGTCTACACTGGTCAGGCTGATAAATGGAGACCAGTCAGGACAACTGGCTTCATCCTCCACAAGGACACCCCCTCCCCAACTGCAGACAGAGTCTCACAGGGCTCATACTGCCTGACGTGGAAAAATTTAACGACCAAAAGTAACAGAGTGAGGGGAGCAAGAGTAAGTGGCAAAAGTGGATAGTTAAGTGAGCGCCCTGAAGCCGTTTTAAAATCTCTTCTGTTTAAAAACCTTCATTGAGTTTTGTTCAGAACAGTGTGTGGGAGAGGACACATGCTCTTTCAGAAAGCAGTTTTAAACATGAGCAAGGCCTGTCGTGGGCACTGTGAAAAGAAGAGCTCTCGGCATCCACCGCAAGCGGCAGCGGGGCAGCAGGGCCCTGGGCGCGAGGGGAGGAGGAGAGGGGATGCCCCCGCACCGCGGCGAGCAGAGCAGGGAGGCCGCCTCCCTCTGACTGGAGAAGACTTCAGGCTCCTTTGAGCCTGTTTCCACGTTATCAAGGAGACGGTAAGAAAACCACCCACAGGACAAGAACTCTGCGCAGGACAGCTCTGCGCTTCCTCCAGCGCTGCAGGACGGGCCCGGAGGCTTCTTGGACTACAGGAATTAATTAAGAGAACCATGAAGGCAAATTACAGCCTTCTCTTTGATTAATGTGGAAACAAGTGCAAAACGGACTCCCTCTTGCCAGGGTCATTACAGCTCGTTGCTGAAACAAGCAAGCCTGAAACGGCTTGTTCCAAGAGCCAGAATTAAGGACTAACTTTTGAGACGGGCTACTGACTCCAAGTTGGATCTCAAGACAAGTCAGGCTGGAACATTCTAATTAAAGCCTTCATATAAAATTAAAGTCGGAATAAGGAGATAATAAAGACCGATTACTGAGAGATGCCAAATTACACCTACTCATAAGGCCAGCTACCCCGGGGCCGTGCTTCACTCCTTGCCAGGCACCGTTCTAATAAGCACGTCGCATATATTAACTCCTTTAACCCTCCCAACAATCCTACGCGTCGTTACCCTCATTATCCTCATTTTACAGATGATGACATGGAAGCACAGAGAGGTTAAGGGGTTTTTCAAAGCTTGCGCAGCTAAAGGTGAAAGAAAGAGCCGGGTTCAGTCCCCCACGGTCTGGCTCCAGTGCCCACACGTTATCCTCCATCCCACAGTCCCCCTCGGGCCCTCGTGTCACTAAAGTGCACTCATAAAATCTCCTCTTCTTGGGTTAATGTCGTCTAAGCTCAGCTGCTCGTCATCGAGGGGTGCTATCTTACAAATAAGCCGTATCTGGGCTTGTTTGCGACGCATTCATGTGCTATTACTGCCACCTGGTGGCAATATGACTCAATCAGAAATAATTCAAAGTTGGAGGGTAACTATTAAATAAATAATGATGCAAATCTACAGATAAAAAGAGAGCGAACAAGACAGTTAGTGTTTGGAAAGGCTCCTGTCCAGGACTGCTATGGCTCCTAAAAAAAAAATCACTCTGTTCTGACTAGTTCTGAGTACTCCAGGGAGGTTAGCTGAAAAGCAGAGCTCTCTTTCTTCCTAATTTTAGATGTTTCAAACCATGCCGCTCTCTCAAAATGAAGGTGATGAAATTAGTAACACGTCAGCGGGCTGTTTTCCCAACAGTGAGGATGTTCTGCGCTGCCCCTTTCAGTGTCTCCTAACAGCACCCCTAAGACCATGGATGACACGAATAAATGGCTGAGATCCAGCACGCAGCCTACGATCCTGAGTGAACGGAGCCAAACAAGTCTGACTCTCCCTTTGTGACGCACAGATGACACACGCAGGTGAAGCCACCTCCTTACACTCAAGGATTACAGCTAACACTTCCTTTTATACCCTCTGGTCAGAGGCACTTAATAAATGCTTTCTAAATATGACTGAACTCTCTTTATAACAGAGGACACACATCCCCTTAGAGCTCCTGCATCTATTCTATCAAGATATAGGTCTACGAAAAATAAAATAAAATAAAATAAAATAATGAAACTTAAGACTCTGTGAGTTCAAAACTAATTTAAGTTCCGCTTGTTCCACGACATGAGAAAAATTTCATCTCCAAGAGTGGGTTTCGTATTATTGGAGTAAATGAAAGCATTCTGTAACGGGTAAAGCACGACAAATGTCATACACGATACTTCATATGTAAACAGTGTTACGAATAATTCTAAAGAGCTGCCAATTCCACTGTAATCACATGGTCTTTAAACCAGATTTTTACCCGTAGGAAGGACAACGAGCAGACAGGCTGCTACCTCATTTCCCAAACTCACGGCTGGGAGGGGAGCGGCCTCTACTGAACGTGACTAAAACCCTGCACGAATTCCAGAAAGCTTTCAGGACGATCCGAGGTCAATGGTCAAAGCAGGTTAGAATTACTCCCCAACAACCCCACGTTTCCACCTTACTTCTCTGACGAGACGAGCGCTTAGTTAGGCTGGACAGAAAAGAGCACCCCACTAAAGTCCAGTGCCTTGATCAACCTACGCCACCCACCCCAAGTCCCCTTTCTTTACAGTCCTCAGTAATAACCTCACCTTTCAGAGAAGTAAGGGAAAAGGTACTAATGGTTAGGATGTAAATGCACAGTATCGCCCCCTATGTGTCTGTTTCTGTCAGTGTCTCTGCGGCCCACCTGCCCTGGTACTCAGGAGGAAAATAAAAATGGGCTGCTGTCCAAAGTTCTTAATGGCCAGGTGTCTCTCTTCTCCTCTCACAGAACCGTCCACACGCTCGTAGCTGTAGCCTTCACACAGAGGAAGAAAAAGGAGAAATATTAACCCTTTTCAAGTACTCTTTGTGGAATAAACTGCTGTCAGCTCAAAACCAAACGCTAATTTTGTCCCTTTCCAGATGCAGGCAGGCCCCTATTGTAAGTATATCCCGTGGGAAAAAAATCTAAATCCTGGGGATATTTCCCTGTTTACAAAAGAACTCACCATAATAGACTCCCCTGGGTTTTTACACACATACAAGAAAAAAATACATAGAGCTGATGTATTGGCACTTGTGGGGTTAACGTTCAATGCTGACAATCCCAAGCCAGCCTGGAGGCACAGGCACGCTGGTCCCCACTGTGCGGCAGCTCCAGTTCCCAGGCAAGTCAGACCAGCACTCGGGAGCCCGGCCAGATGGCCCAGCGCTGCCTTTCCGTGAAGTTTCAGGGTTCTCCACCCGTCACCACAGACCCGCTGTCGGGGAGGGAAATCAGATGCTCAAGCTCTGCCTGTGAACTGAGGACGCCGCCTCGACACGCCAGTGCATTTCCTGCGAGCGTCCAATGGACCAGCTACCCTGCGGTGCTTGGGGGAATCACATGGTTCTAAGAGACCTCCTCTGAGTTCATTTTTTAAATAGTTACAGTCCAGAGCTGATGCTTCTTCACCACCGGTCTCAAGATCAACCAATGTTACGGCCTTTTTCCCCATCACCCCACATAAATTTTATTATGTATTAAACAGAGTCCCCAGGTAATAACTTACATTCCCCACTGTCTATATAGAAAAAAATGTCCTTTGCTTTTCCTTGGTGGGTAGGTGGGATCTCTGTGATTCATATTCATCTTTCTACCGGTCCTGAACAAGTCCTCAGCTGCTGAGCTGAATACTGCAGGACACTGAAAGCTCGTATTTTCAAAAACACTCAAAATTTTGCAACACACATTTTCTCCAGTACACATAATTTTTTCTCCCAGTTTTTATTGAGCTATAATTGACAGCTAGCACTGTATAAGTTTAAAGTGTAGAGCACAACAGTTTGACTTACATACCTCATGAAATGGTTATCACAGTAAGCCCAGTGAACACCCACCATCAGCACCCATCGTTCTCAATCACATCACTGACGGGGCTGTGTGTTTATTTCTGCCCTCGTGTCTCCACCCTCCTGTCAAACCCTGCATCACACATCTCTCTCCTTACTTTCAATCTTCCTTTGGTTCTGAATAATGCCTTCCACTGCTTTGCTCTGTAACATCCCCACACCCCAGATCTCTCCTCATGGACCTATCTGGACTATTCTGTCTAAAAGTCTTGAGCAATGCAGTGGTCAAGGGGTGTCACCTCTATAATCCATGTAGTCCTGGAGAATATCCAACATCTGGGTCATCTGGGAGAAAAGTAAAACTCGATGGCCCCTGGCGAAAAAAAGAAAAGGGACAACTGCCAACTCCAGCAGCACGTAAGGTGGGTTTCCCTCAGGTGAGACTTACCAAAGAACGCACGTCTGTGAAGCAGTGAAGTCCTGACGCAGAAACATAAATGTCACACTCATTACAGAGACTTTCTGGGAAGTGCCAGACGCTTTACATAAGAACATGGCCCCACATGTGGGCTCGGGGCAGCAGCTCTCACCCTGGAGCGGGGGTGTTCCTAGGGGCGGTGTCAACGCGCCAGAGGGCACAGGAAGCCCTGGGACAACCAAGGCGCGTCTTTCTAGGACGTCAATGACTAAATGGAAAGAAAGACATGCTCTTCACAGCAAAATACATTTAAAAATGCAAAGAGTAAAATGCAAAATTCAAAAGTACAAAAAACAAAACAAAAACTGGAGAGCCTGAAGAGCATGTGGTCAGCCATCGACGGCTCATCTCCACGTGGAGGTGAAGTCACTACCCTCTCATCTACAGCAGGACTGGCTGAAAATTCCAGAAGCGTCACTTCAGAAAAGCAAGGGGCAGGGGGCATCTCATATCCCACATGACACATGAGAAAACCTCTGTATGGGGAGAGGAGAGAGGAAAGGAGGAGGCAAAATGGACCAAGTCAAGAATAAAGTCAAGCCTAGAGCCCCATGCTGTCAGCTGTAATTTTAAGTTTGCACAAAGAATTATGGCACAGTCAAAACAACACTCTCATTAGGAACACTAATTTAACCTGAGTTTGCAATGGGTATAAGAGGAACAATTATGAAAAACTCTTTTAAGACTCTAGGCCCAACAGGTAGAAAGGGCACTGAACTTGAAGTTGAGGACCTTAATTCTACTCCCATCTCTGTCATTTGCTGGCTGTGTGACCTTAGACAAGTCACACAACCTCTGGGCCTGTTTCATCACTTGTGAAATGAAAAGGTTGGAGAGAAGATACTTATAGGTCCTCCAACTGTAACAAACTTGGAGTAGAAACACCATAGCCAATGAACTACAGTGAGACATGCAGTTATTTGTCTCGCACATTCCTAGCACTGGGCGTTTTTAACAAACCTGAGGTTTTAGTTGGTTTAGGCCTACTTGGCACAACTGTTCCTAAGGGGCAACTTTGAAATCCTTGGGAAACAGGTTTTTCTAGACTGCTCTGTCCCTCTGGGGACCAGGAGGATTAGATACAGGTTGGACACCAGGCACTAAACATCCGTGGCTCCAGAAGTGACTTGGTCTTCTGATGCCCAAATCATGTCTCGGGCAAAGAGCCCCCCACGTTCTTCCTGGGTCCAAACTGAACCCCACAAGTTAACAAACGTGCATACTGACTAGTACTTACTATATGCCAATTGCACACAAGGTACCAGCAGGCAAAAAAGAAATGCTTGCTGTTACCTCTGTCCTTGTGGAACCAAACAACCGGAGTGACGTGGTTAACACACAGGAATCAACCAGACAGCAGATAAGGCAGTGCGCTGCCAAGTGCTGGACTGGGAGCCTAAGGCTGAAGGAATTCAGAGAAGGGAAGGATGACTATGGAGGGGATGGCGGGGGACAGAGTGGAATTGGGGAGTGAGTGCAGTTGCAGAGAAGGCAGAACCTGAATCAGGGTCTTGGAAAAAGGAAAACGGGGATAAGTTTCAAGAAATCAGTGAGGTGCTCATGACTCTGGTTTTTAAAGTCACCAGCTCAGAGCAGAAGACACGAACCCCCGCCTACCTGGGGTACAGGAGCGCCAGCAGCCTATCCAGGAGGTGAAGCTTCCCGCTGGCCTCGATCAGGTGGTCTCCAATCTCAAAAGGCTCTGGTTCTACACCTGGAAAAGAAAGAACCCCTCCCAGTAACGGGCCCGCAGGAGACGCCGCCGGCCAGGCTACAGAGGCCGGGCGCCTTCACTGGTCACGGTCCCGAGTCGCACACCTCTGAAGCGCTTTCTAGTTACTTGTTTGTAAGGTATTTCAGAGCTGCCAACATCAGTCAGAGCCTGGCACACCCAACATGCCCTAAGGTCTACCCAGGGGTCAGAGCCACGCTTCAGGAAACCGAGGCACAGGGAAGTGCTAAAGACCAAACAGCCCCAAACTGGAGTCCTGAGGCTCCCAACCTGGGAGACAAATGACGAAACAGGCTTGGATGTATAAACAAGTAATTCTTAAGGGGGGTGGCAGAATAACCCGGGGGGCTTCTTTTAAAATCCACATGTTCCCAGTGCCCCCTCCCTTAAATAAAAAAAGTCTTGACTGGCACCTAGTTAAGTCTAGGACACCTGAAAACGCTTCACAGAGCTACTTGGCTGGGACCCCCTTGAAACGGCCACAGCGAACCCTCCGTGCTGAGCCTCAGCGCCAGACCCCTGCAGCCACCGAAGGCCTGGAGCTGCCCCAAAGGCTGCCAGTCAGAGTGAAATGAGGAAAAAAAAAGTTTGGATGAAAATGAACACACTACATATCAAAATGTGTCAAGTGCAGCTAGAGCAGTGCTTCCAGGGAGCTGCAGACATGCACGAGACGGAAGGGAAGCAACAAAGGAGGCTGGCGAGGAGCAGACGTGAGGCAGGTAGAAAAGCAGGAGAAAGAACTGTCCCAGAAGCCAAAGGGAAAAAGTGCTTCAAGAAGCGATCGACCGACACGTACGACGGAAGCGTTGTGCTGCGCACCAGAAACTGACACAACGCTGTCAACCGACTGTACTTCAATTTAAAAAAAAAAAAGAAAAACAAGAAAAAAAGAAGAAACCAGCCGCATAGGATAAACAACTTCACTTCAAATAAAGAAATGCAAGATGATGACTACCTTTTAATTTGGCAAAATTTCTAAAGGATGCCAATACCCATTGCTGGCAGGCATGTGGGCTAACAAGCTCCATCCTACCCTGCAGGGTGGCCTGAGGCTAGACACTGAAAGTCTCAAATGGAATCTTCCCTTTGATACAGCATTGCATTTCTAAGAATCTGTGCAAGTGAAAGTAAACACTTTTTTACCTACACATAGAAGTATGTGTGATTGTTAATTATACACATAAGGAGGCATAATTACTGGTTGTCATTACACAGCAGTGGAGACAACACAAACGTCAAGAGATGGGAGGGGCTGTTAAAATTCTTATGACACATCCATCCAATGGAATGTTAGCCATAAAAATACAATTCTTGACGCGGAAAGTCAATCAAGTTGTGTAGCTGAGTATTAAAAAAAAAAAGCACGTTCCAAACACCATAGGTAATACATGACCTTTGGCTAATAAATGATAAACGAGACTTAGCGCTGATCCACAAGGCTACATACCCAGGGTTACAGTCACGGTAGAATTATGAGGCTTTCAGGTTTATTTCTGCTGATCTGCATTTTCTTATTTTGCTACAATGAATGGTAGTATGTAAAAACAATTAAAAGTAAATTAAAATTATATATGAAAGAAAAAAGTGATCAGCTGGATCAAAGGTTTTGAGAGGTTAATTAAAATGTGAACCACTGGTCGAGTGTCTGGGAGTCCGCTCGTGAAGCAGGAAGGGCGGTGATAAAAGGCTGAGAAAAGGGACATTTGATCATAACGGAATGATCAGCTAAATCCAGATCATGAAACATGCCATAAAATAACCATCCTTGATTCTTCAGAACTGTCAATTTCATGAAAGACAAAAAAATGGCCAAAAAAACAAACAGACAAAAAAGCTGGGGCCTGGGAAGCAGGCCCCGCAGTGCTACCCTAGTTCCGTCAGCTCAGCCGGGACCCTGACGCTGCTCACCCCGGCAGCACCTGCGCCTGAGGAGCGAGTGTGACAAAGCCCGGGAGTGCGTCCACCAGGCGGCTTCAACCACCCACCCCAAGGAGTGCCCCTGAAGCCGTCTCACTGGCCGTCCACCTCCACCCGCAGAACGGCAGCACCCAGCCGGCCTCACAGATCATCAAAAGGAACCAGCTGCTCCCTAGAGTGAAAACTCTCTGAAATAAGAAAGAAGTCAGTGTCTCGGCGTGTCCACCGGATCCAGCCCATCCAAATGCCGGCTTCCACTGTACAGAGAAAGTGGTATTTTGCTCTTGGAAACCTGTTACCTGAGACCCAGGGGAGTATCTACAAGGCCTTTTTGGTTGCATCACAGCAAAATGAATAAAAGACAGATGGTAAAGGGTGCTAGTTTTGAAGACACACACACAAAAATGCTAGGTTTTAGGAACATTAAGAGATACAACCCAGCATCTATGACAGGATCTCGAATTTAAAAAGAAAAAAAACAAAATCCTGAAGGACGTAAAAGGGACAACTGAAGATATGAGCAATATATAGGTAATACTGACATAAAAAAATTAACACAAGAAAATAGGGAAAAGCAGACCATAAATACAGGCAAAGCTTTGGAAGAACTTTGCTACGAGGTTGGCCACAGAAATGTGAACAAAAAGTAACGTCAGAGAAATGGGCACCGCCTTACCATCAAACAAGTACGGGTGACCCACGCACTTTCGAAGCTGGGATAAGACGTTCTGTAGTTTAACTTTCTTTGCCGTCTCATTTTCAAATGCATCTGAAATTTTTTAAAGAGACACAGAGAGGTACTACTGAGCAACAAAAAACCCTCAAGTTTCCATAAATAACTTTACTCATTTCAATAATACATCTTTCAAACCTATATTAACCTCCCGAATTTCACTGAATTGCATTAAGAATTAACAGCACAGCAATATGCAGATTTCTTAACCATCATCTGGTTTTTAAAATCCACCTAACTATAAACGGAACTCAGCAGTACTGTTAGCCTTCTGCAGAATCCCGTTTCCTTCTCTGACGGCTATTGCAGAGCTAAGGAACAAAAAAAAACGCAAAACTGAAAGGTCTTCCCACTCTCTCCCCATTCCCAGTCCCAATTCCTCCCAGTAAATTTGATTTAACAAAAATGTTCTGCAATGTGTTACGTATGTGACACAGTGGGAAAACGCAAGTCATGACTGGGACACCTAGAAGTGTCCGCTTAACTACAGGCAGTAAGGAAAGGGGGAGGGCGGATTTCACAAACGCAACAACCGAGAAAGTCTGAGTTACATTCAAGACACTGCCAGTTTCACAGCAGCGGCCCTCAGTATTATTCAGAACACAAAATTCCATCCCATATTCTCGTTACATAAAGCAAGCCAGACTGTAAAACACTGCCTTGCATGAAAATCACACCTTCACTTAGTTTCTAAATGGACAGGTGCCCTCTCATCACCTAGGTCCTTCATCAGAATGGCCCTGTAGCACCTCTTCTGCAGTGCCGACATGCCGTGGTACAGCACCACTTCCATCTTCCTGGGAAGCTCTGCAGCCACCTCCGCTTTCACTCGCCTCAGCAGAAACGGCTGCAAGAGTTTGTGCAGTTCACTTGCTGCATGAGGAAAAACAAAAACACACGTAGTGTGGGACAGAAGCAAGACCGAGGCATTGCACTACTAGAGAATACACAGCACTTTATTTTTGTTTCCCGTTTTCATGCCAATTCTGTGTTCTAGGCCAGGATGGTAATTTTTCATAGTATTTCTTCCTTCATTGGGTTTTCCTTTCCAGCTCTTCTGATTCTTACCAGTAATCTCATTTGCATTGAGCTATTTTGTTTCCAGGATACTTCTGCATTTGATCAGCATAAAAGCTTAGAAATGTAGGGCAAGTAGATAATATTGTCCCCATTTCTAAGGCTGAGTGAGGCTCAGAAAAATTAAGCCCCTTATCCAAAGACACGCAGCTGGATGCTAATGTTGCCAGCATTCAAACTTACAATCCCTTTGTTCCTTCCCCGGGTGTTGTGAACTTCAAAACCTAGCCTACACTGGAATTACACTGCATGTAGGGCTGCCAGATACAGCAGATAAAAATACAAGTGCCCAGTTAAATCTGAATTTGATAAACAACAAACAATGTTTTAAATATCAGTACATCCTGTGTAATATGTGACTGGGTGACATGTATTTATCTGGCAACCCTGAACATGGGAGCAATCAGAGCAGTTCCCCAGGTAACCCTCAGCCTGCGGTGGAGGTGTTTCTGCTGTGAAAAGCCCTTCCAAATCACACTCACCTCGCACATACAGACCCACACGCTGGCATGCCTGCCATTTGTTCTGAATCACCATCCCAGGATAATATCACAGAAATCGATAATTCCACGAGGGAGAGGGGCACAGGTGTGAGAGGAAGAAGACTACAAATGGCCTGTGTGAACGACGTAGGCCTCCCCCCTTCACTTCCACCACCCAACCATCCAGACTTTGGGTTTTGTGCAGTGTGCAAAGAAACACCAGTGCTGTGGAATGCTGGACAGTAGTTTCAGGCTACAGCACCCACATATATTTCTGCCTCGGGAAGCAGCACAGAAAGTTTACCAAGTCCTTACGGAAATTACATGTTGGAAGAAAAAAAAAAAGCCTGCAAATCAGCAGCCACTATCTCTTCCAAAAACGGCCCGGTGAGCACTACCACAGACTCACGCAGCCGACAAGCAAGAGAGTCACCAAGAGCAGACACGGACCAGCACGAGGGCGCTGACGTCGCCTCGTCCGTGTGCGGCGCCTCCCCTCCCGGAAGGCGCCCTCTGGTTATCGGTTCCCTTTCTTTTCTCTCCATAACCGTCACGCACAAGGGCAGCTTCTGGGCCCAGGCCCCTCGGGCAGGTTTGCGAGAAGGGAACTTGCCTGACTCCGACTCCTTCTCTATGTCCTGGTACCGCTGAACGAAATCTTCCACCTGCTCCCTGGGAAAGAGCTCCGGCTCCGCAAAACCGAGGAGAGAGTAGAGCTCCCGGAGGCTGTTCTGGATGGGAGTTCCGGTCAGCAGCAGGCTGAAGACGGCTGAGAACTCAAACGCACGAACACCCGAGGTGAAAACCCGTAGCCCCGGGGGGCAAGGCTGAGTCCCCAGCACAACCGTTACTCGTGCCCAGAGACGTGCGGTTTAACGAGAGGACCAGAGCGGCGACACCCAGGGGCGCGGGCGCAGGCGCAGGCAAGGGCTCCGCCCCGGCTCCAGCCCTGAGAGGGGCTGAGGATTCTCTGAAGACGGCGCCGCTACAAAGACGCAGGTAAACTCACTTGCGGCTCTAAAGCACCGCGTGAACACTGCGGGCGGCTGCCGGGCTGCAGCCCACGTGGGCATGCGCGCCGCGCTATCACTACGCGGGGCGCGCGGCACGCAAGGCGGAGGCAGCGCTCTCCCACAAGAGCGCCCGTCTGTGAACCCTCACAGGTGCAGCCAGTGCAAGACGTGAAGACTTCTGGACTTTTCTGGACCATAAACAACCCAAAGTGGAAAGCAGCTCTAAACTTTGCGCAAAAGATGAGAACACGAAGAGTAAGAGACTAAAGAAGTAAAAGGTTAGGAAAAACAGTAACAGATATTAGTCAAAGGACAGCCTCTGAACTGACATCAACAAGAGCTTGCACTACTTGAGTTAAATAGCACAGCACGCGCGCGCACACACACACACACACACAAATACAACACAGAGAGAAAGCCACAGCCTATGAATATATATCAAACATCGAAATACATTGTGTGTATGTAAATACATATACACACGTACATAATCACTGCACTTTAAAGTAATACGTCTTGATTTGAAAAAAACATACAGATGCGTGCTTCTGTGTGGGCGCACTCATGGCTGCAAAGGACGTGGCAGCGCGTACACCAAATGTTAACACGCAGCGCAACAGGGTCACTGGTGCCTTTTACTCTCCTTGTGTGTCTACGTTTTGATTTGGGATGGGGGTCATACGAAGATACTTTCGAAGGAAGAAAAGGTAATCGGTGAAATGATGTAATCAGTTAAAACTGATTTGAAAGTCTTTTTTTTTTTTTTTGGCATTTTCCCTTTTCTGTTTTGTTTCTTTTTAGACTGTCTAATCAATGCCCACCCACTCATGCCTGCTGTGCTTGTAGGGCAAAGTTTTCAAGCATTTCAAGCACGGGAACTGGTCACAAATAAATGTTTCTAGTAACCAAATCACATTTTTACAGTACGTGCTCACCAAGCAAAGGGCTAAAGTGACCCAAAGAAAATGAGGTCAACAAAGACAATCAAGGTTGTCAGGTACTGCAATCAGCTTGCCCTGCCACCTGAGTTACTCACATTCTTACTCAAAGCCGTGTCCATTTTGCACTAAAACTTAACACGGAAGAAAGTCCAGAGATAATCTCTGTTTGTGTGTGTAATATTTTGTAAACATTTTGCATAAAATATTTTACAAATATTTTCCATGTTACTAAACACCCTTCTACACAATTCTTCGCGGCAGCCGTACTCTGTAAACGCACTGTATGGACAGAGCGTAAATTGCGTGACCACTTCTCGGTGTTCACATTTAGGCTGCTTCCAACTTCAACAAACAAGTTGAAAACAGTTTTAGGAAGCGAGGAAAAAAGGCAGCACCTTTCTCCCCTCCCTCAGCCCAATCAGTAAATGTGACTGTTTCTTTCCGACCAGCCAGCTGCCTGCAATTCCAGCCTCACCTAAAAAGGAACCCTCGGATGACGCAGAACAGTTCTCTCACCGAGTCCCTCCGGGCCTAAGTTTCCTTATGAGTAAGAAGAAAAGGCCCTGGAGCCAGGGGCAGAGCTCGCCTCCCCACTCCAAGCCCGGGGCCTTCTGCTGCACCTGCTCCTCTTCCCCGTTGCAGGAAGCTGGCACGGCAGTTTATGAAGCAGGCTCTTATAAGGTTAGGTGCCAGGATGTGACAACCTCTTGGGAAAGAGATGCTATGCGGAGTCCCTAAAAAGAAGGCAAAGGACACCACAGAGTAGAGGGGGCCCACTAGGGGACAGCAATCCTTAAGACTGGGCCAATAACAGACAGTGGCCATATCTGCATAAAAGCACTAAAAACTGGGCTTTTAACAAGTAAATACACAATTCAGACCTAAGACTCTCCTCTGAATTCCCTCTAAATTTATTAGCTGATTTATTACAGGACAGGAACCAAACTTCAATGATGGGCACAGACATTCACACACATAGTCTCACGAATGAACAAGCCTTTACTAGGTCAATACGGAGAGGGCCCTCCATCCGCACAAGCTATTCCACTAGCCCCTCAGAAAAGAGGGCAAATCTAGGGCTCCAACGACACGGCTCACCTGCTGTGCCAGACTGATGCCAGAGAGCAAGGGAGTGGAGTAAGATCAAGGGAGTGATACTCAGAAGAATGGCAGAGACAGGAGAGACTGGAGGTAACATTCTACAGCAAGAGATCAGGCTCCTCGTGGTGAACTGTCCAAGATTTTAAACAGGTAAACGGAGAAGGGGTACAACGTGTCAGGTGTGGTCCTTATTGCAGGCAGAAGAACTACAGCAAGGCTATCTTTAAAGAAACTGCCTCTTTAAAGACGACCAGAAGAGAGCTGAAACATTTCCAAAAATACAATGTGTTTTACTGGGGTAGAACCTTAGTCACTTGGTAACCAGATTTTAGTAAATATCACCCCTGTAAACGACAAGAGGAAGCAGTCAGGCCATAATAAGCACTCCTTCTGTCACCACCAAATGTTCATTTAACTGCAGAAATCTGACTGGGAAAAAAAAGTTCCAACATAATTGGCTCTGTATAGACCTAAGCTAATGTCTCTGAAGGGGGGTTACGTGAGAACGAAGGCTGCCCTGAGAGCTCACCTCCGAGAGCGTCCTATGCAGCAGGGAGCTGTGGTTCTTCAGCCTGTGAGCTTCGTCCACGACGAGCAGGCTCCACGCGAAGCTGTGGGGGGAGAGCCAAGCCTTCAGTCTCATGTGACTCAGACACGTACCTCACCGCCAGGAGTCCTACCACGACACCCCGGCGCTTGCTGGGAAGGCAGGTATCAGGCCCCCCCTGTTAGAAACACACCCACACTGCCTTCTCATCTGAGACTACCATGTAGTACAGTATCTGGATATGGCAATAAAATTAAGGGAATTTATTTTCCAAGATTGGAAAGACACTGAAGGCAGAAAGGAAGGAGCCAGAGACAAAGAGCAAAAGGAAACATTTACAGTCACTTACTATGTGCCAAACACTCAGCTTGGGGCTTTAGGTATGTTACTTAATCCAAAGACTAAGGTAAGCAGAAATCATTGAGCCCATTCTACCAACAGGGAGACTAACGCTCAGAAGGTAGGTAACCTAGTCAGGGGCACAAAGCTAGCATGAGGCAGAGCTGAGATTCCGACCGAGGAGAAAAGCCAACAGACGGTGGTATCATAGTAGCTAAAAAGGATGGTTTTAAAATGGGGAAGCGGTGCACAGGGTCAAACCTTACAGACAGGAAGCTTCCTCACTGGCTCTTTTCACCTGGAAGTCACGGTGGTGTGACAGAGCACTTCTGTAGCGTAATAGTTGTGACCACAACTTCCCAACAGGTTGCAGTCATAAAAGGATACTCTTTGCAAACACTCCTGGGAAACTGTTTTTTTCCCATGAAAAAATTCAAAATTTGGAAATACATGCGTGTTCCAAGCTGCATTATTTAAAACAACAAAAAGCTGAAAATACTACCAGGTCCAATAATGCATGATGAAATACAGCATTTTAAATGATAAATGATTACACTGTGATAAAAAAAAGCCTATATAACTAAAAATATATAAATATTGTATCTTTTTCAAAAGTGTGAAAATCATGCAAAAGATAATTAAGTGAAAGTTTAAGATTTTTAAGTTGATATTTCATTTGTAAACATTCTGTTTACAGTCCCATTACATTATTTTTATACTTAAAAACTAAATGTATATTCAAGTAAAGCAGAATATTGGGAGAGTAGTAGGTATAGAAATAAAAATCCTTCCAACACTAAGAGTAAGGTCTTGAGCAGAGCTTGGCCTTAGAAGGAGGGAAGCCTCTTCCTCTAAGGTCACAGAGAAAACCCAGAAAACAGACTGCCAGGCACCACTCACTCTCCCACCGAGGGTGGTGCAGGCAGAGGGAGGGAGAGCAGGAAGCGGGGCCACCCCCGCTGAACAGAAGGGGCCGCACTGAAGGACCACGGAGGGGAAGAGCGCAGCCGAAGCTGGACACACGCCACGAAATGAGGTGTGGAAGTGGCCACAGCGCAGTGCTTGGTTCCTGCCTGAATTGCCATTCAGGACAGAGCTGGTCCTGCTCCTCTGTGAAGAACTAGATACTCAGGTTTTGGCGCACAGCAAGCATCCAGTACAAAGCCTGTTCAATGGAACGGCTGCGGGGAGGGAACCTGGGCTCACCGAAAGGAAGGAGGGCAAATCACTCATCAAAGGACACCCTCAGGGACGCTCCCCGAGAGGACGAGGTGGAGGGAGTTCCAGCAGTGCGTGGACAGTGGGACAAAGGAACTTCTAATCCTCTTGAGCTAAAGATTCCGTGTCTACTGTCAAAAAAAATTTCCTATCTTTCATACATGCACAGTCTCAACTCTCCACAATAAACCTCATTAGGGCAGAGATTACATTCCACTTTCTGGCTGTTCTCAGAGTGTGCGGTACAGTAACACACAATAGAACCTTGCCAAATACATCAAAAGCAAGCATCCGTGTTCTTGCAACCATACTGAGTGAACATTATAAATGGCCCTTTATTACTCAGGTTCTTAAATTCACCTGGAGTGGATTCAAGACAGATGACCTAACACAGAAAGAGTGTATTTCTGCTGAATAACGTGAAACTCCAGTGCACCTACACACTTTGACACGCTCTCTTAAAAAGCAGCTCCACAGCACTGCGTGGTGGGTTTGGATGTCTGCTTGGCCGTTTACTAGCAATGTACCCCAGGATGGGTCACCTAATCTCTTACCTTCCTATTTAGAACGTGGCTGAGAATCCCCACCTACTAGGGTTTTCACCAAGATCAAACAGGATGACGTATGTAAAGTCCCCAATAACATTTATGTCCCCATCTCCGTGTCTTGTGAGACTCCCAGGCACTGCCCGGCAGTCTGGCTGTCCGGGTGCTTCTCATTCCTCTACCAGAGTCTGTGTGCTCTCAGGGCTGCTCTGTCGTTCACTCTCCTGGTGCTGCTGCTGACTCCCCGAACAGTGTGTTTCCGGGGGAGAGATCTTCAGCACGTACTAAGCTGGGCATCGATCACAAAAGACAAGCGAGAAGGAAAGCATCTCTTTTTCTTAAGGAAAGTAAGGTGCTGTGCTTACTTAAGTGACACTTAAAACAAAACACTGGGTGGAACTGCATCATAACTACACACGCTACGGAGAATGAAATCCTGTCAACATACATTCCTTTTCACCTAAAATCTCACTCGTTTCATTTATAAGGTAACTGTTGTCTTGACTACACACTGCAACATGTCACCCCTACTACCAGGTGGTACTAAGAGTTAAATCTAACTTTCCTGTATTTTGTGAGCTGATATGAGGCCTGAAAGCTAATTAATTAGAAAGAAGTATACTTAAAAATCCCTTTCTAAAAAGTTAATTTTATAGCACTGACTGCTACTTTAGGATATTCCCAGGAAAAGGCTGAAATGATTCACCTCCTGTGATGCAGTAAAACCTCCACAAGGCAGTCCTGAAAGGCGTCTATGCAGCTGCGATGTGAAGGCCCACCGTGTACACCAAATCTCACTTCATCCTCACAACGGCCGTTCAAGGTGAGAGATTTAATTATCCCCAACTTACAGATGAAGAAGCTGAGGTTCGTGGAGGTTAACTAACTAACCCAAGAACGTGCAGTTAAGAAGCAGGGGGTCAGGCTGTAAGACTCCTGCCACGTCCCACACAGATGAACAGGCCTCCCAGACGACGCACCAGGGAAGAAGCAAAGCACTGAAACGTGAAGGAAAGACATGGCTTTCACGATATGCTAGACGCGAGCTCTGAACAGCATACTCACGGCTTCAGGAATGATGCATCTTTCAGGCAAATCTGAAAAATTAAAGAAGACACCTTATAAAGGCTGACGCCGACATAACTCGGATGTTAATAAGCTAGTTTGTTATTAACTCTCCCAAACTACACGATTTAGTTAAGTCTTATTCACTCACTGTGTAAACAAGCCCTGAGCATAAACCTAAGCACCATCTGACAGACAGACACAGGGAGGCAGCAGTAAGTGGAAGGTCTTGCTTACAGTGACCCAGACAAGCTTAGCGCGACGAGCAAGGACTTAAACAGAGACTTGAGCTAAGTGTCCTCCTCTCCCATCCTCCAGTAACAGAGACGAGGCCTCAGCCCACAGCCCTCCCCCTGCCGCCTGCCTACTGCTACCCACCATTCGGGGGGCAGCTGCCCCCTTGCTCCACCAGGAAAGAGAGGGAGAGAGAGCTAACTCATTTGAGCACACTTCTTTGCTCACAGCCCCTCTCGGAGAATCTAATGAAAGTAGGCTTTCTTCCCAGAAAAATATGAACTCTCAAAAAAAAAATTAAATATGATTCCAGTGGATTCTACGACCTCTAAGGGCCCAAGTGAAGAGCTCTGACTGCAGGGAAACACACAGGTACCTCGTAGGTAGTCAGCAGCACGTGGAAGCGCGACTCCTGTTTCAGGTCCTGCTGCAGCTGGGCCCGCTCCTCCTTGCCACCCGCGTATGCTACACAGGAAAGCCCTGGGGCCAACCTGAATCCAAGAAGAGAGGCAGATGAACACACAGGACGAGCCACGGGAAGCGGGTGCACGTCTGGAAGATCACACCTCATGGAAGGGCTGTAGGTGTGCCCTCAGGATACTCTACAGCCAGAGCAAGCCCCGGGCCCTGGGATCTCGCCGAGACTGACGGGTAAACCCAAGGGCGAGTTCTCGTGTGAAGACAGAAAAGGGCTGAGTGAACATCAAAAAGGGCCTTGTGTTAACCTAAAAAGAAAACTTTCATTCCACATTGGTTACTTCCTATGAGTGTCACTAGTCTTTATGAAAAAGCTGGGTTTTCCTTTAGTTCAGCAAAATTTACTAAAAATGAGCACTGACTTTTCAAAGTGCCAAACAGTAACAAGAGCATCCCTTAGACCGCCCCACCCCCAGCCCCTCAGTCTCTGTCGGCACAGCCTTGGGTCACACTTTTCTGGAATAAACAAACTCATTGCTTAGGGCAATATGTCGTTTTATCCTATTTCAGACAGCACCCCAGAAAAAAGGAATCAACGTGAAAAATAAAATTTCAGCTACATCTGCTCTGTACCTCTCCATCTCTTCTTTCCAGTTGCTCAAAACAGACAAGGGACAAAGAATCAGAAATGGTCCTTCATCATTTAGTCTTCCTGTCAAGTAAAGGAAGAGAGCGATAGTCTGAAACAGAGAAAAAGGAGGCAGTGCTGATCACACTCCAACATGAGAAATACAATTAAAGTTCCCACAACCTCGTAGAGAACACTTACAACTGCATCAAAAAGATAAAACCAAATGCAAACTGTTATAGAGGACTTGCTTTAACAAAACCCTTGTGTACAATCTCCGCCCATCAGGAGGGTAATCCATTCCCAGGGGGAAATCACAGCCTTAACACAATCGCCAAAGAGACGTGTGGTGCCCAGTTACACCAACAGTCAATAAGCAATGGGGCTCAGCGTCTATGCGACTGAAGCTCTAATACAAAGGGAAACATCAGGAAAGACAACAGGAAACAATGGGAACAATGCAAGGAACATGCAAGATCAGGGATGCCCTGCAAACACAAGGCAGGGAGTGTCGAGACCTGCTGTGCAGAGGGCCGGCTGCACGGGGCCCCACTGCTGGCCAGCATCTCCTAGGGAGCATGCCCCCCTCCCTCCACATGCACTTATGAGGCACCTTCTATTTACCAGGAGCTATTCTGAGCTCTGGAACATAGTAGTGAACAGAACAGACAAAACTCCCAGCTCTCCTGGAGCATAAATTCAGTGAGGAAAACAAACATTAATAACGTCTCATAAGCTTACATCAGGGTCTACACTGAAAATCTTTTAGCGCCTAAGAGACTACTTCAGGATGTGGCTGCACACACTTTCAACTAGAACATCTTCTTTGAAAAGTTGCTGTGACATACAGAGAACACAGCACTCTTTTACGAAACAAGTTTGAGGGCGCCCAGCCCCACCTGCAGAGCTGCTTCTGAGAAAACCGCCCCTAAGGATGTAACCCAAAATCCTGACAGAGCCGCTCGGGCCCGATGTCCACACCGAGGCTAGTGTCAGTACCACGGAGAGGGAACGTCTGCATTCGTCCTCTGGAGAGCATTTAAATAAATTACGATCACTTCCCTTGACAGGCATTACGCAGCCAACAGAAAATCATCACTGTAAAGAACATAATAAATGGAAAATAACAATGACTGCCAGATTAATAATATACAAACTACATGTGCACTATAATTTCAACCATGTAAAGCACACAGTGCTCTCCGTGACTATGGTCAGAGTGCTGTGGTGAGGGGTTACTGAGGTCACATTTCTGTGATAACAGAAATAATTTTCTTTTTCACTATCCATAGCTTCCCAGCCCAAGAAGAACTTACTGAATTAAAGCCATTCCGGTTAGTTTTCGCTTGAGGATACTGTTTAGAGAAAATTTATCTTTTATTACCATGAGATACATTGACAAAACAAATCTGGATTCACTAGTGGATTCTTCCAACCTTCTAAGGAAGAAACAATAACTACACAAACTCTTCCAGAAAACTGATAAGGAAGAGATACTTCTCAATGCATTTTACGAGGCCAGATTTACCCCAATACCAAAACCATACAAAGGAAACTACAGATCAATGTCCTTCATGAACACGGATGCAAAAATTATAAACAAAACTTTAGCAAGACGAAATCTGAGGTGTGATACTGTCAGGGCACTTAAAGCTGGGCTATGTGAACACCCTGGGAAAGGCAAAGGACACGTGGGATCTGCGGGCTCTGGACGGAGTCGGGCGATTTCAGTGTCCCAGGCAAAGCAGAGGGCTCTGCTCCCGAGTGCAGGTCTCTTATTACCTCCCAGAACAGTGGGAAACGTACCTCTGCTGCACAGCTGTCAGTGCAGGAAGGTACCAGGACCAGGGTCATCTGCCTGGGAAACCCGAGGGTCATAAATGAGGTACCTGAGGGGACACGCTCAGAGGTCATACTGTATTCTGAATAATCCCAAGACTGATGAGGTACGCCTGGCTTAGAGCAAGGAGTCTCCAAGACATGGCCAGACTAGATTATGAGCAGAGTTGCTCCAGCCCAATGTCTATGTACGTGGGTTAGACTTGAAAGGACTATGAGACCTTGACTCATTCTGTGTGCTCACCGGTGAACCCTCTTGGTATCCAAATATTTACACCTTCGTGTTTCAGCTCCAGTTGCCTCTTCTGTGCATCCTGACTGCACTGGCTTCCTGTGGCATCTTACAGATGAGGAAACCTTGTGTGATTAATCCCAGGAGTGTCTGTGTCTGGACTGGCCAGAAATTGAAGCCTACCGCTGACATCTGTCAACACGGACTGTTATTGGTGATCAACCTACTGGAAGCGTTGACCTTAACACACCACTCGCTAATCGATGCTCAAGGAGGTTACGTCTGATTCTCCAGGTCTCTAGACTGCAGCCTACCACTGTATGGCCAAGGCATTTCAGAGGACACAGGGCACTTTCTGTGCGCTTCTCTAGCAGGCAGAGAAAAGGGAAGTAGCCCCACCACCCACTGAGGAAGGGAGACGATATTAAAAGTAATCTAGTTAACTAGATAAAGTATGACTAAGGAGGGCAGAGTCAGTTTGAGCCCTGGAACAGGTGTATTTGCTTTACAGAGAGAAAAACTCTATCCATTAATTTTAATTCTATGTCAAGGGCTGGATAAAATAAAGGTAGTGCAAAGTTCAAAACCATCCCCATGGCTAAAGAAGTCAAGACCAAGATCACGATCTCTTAACAAAGGTCCAGGCATTTTACCTCCTAGTATAAAAACACACACCAGTAGCTGGCAGCTAAAGACAGTCATGAGCTGTAAGGAGGTGCTGTAGTGGGAGTAAACAGTGTTCACTCCACAGCAACGTACCTGACAGGTCTTACCCAGGCCCATCTCATCTCCCAGGATGCAGCCATTCTGACAATGGAAACGCTGGGCTAGCCAGTTGACCCCCTCCAGCTGATAAGGGCGGAGACGGATCCCTAGAAATAAAAAACACGGCAGCCGTTTCAGCACACACAGACTGTGTTCAAGACTTCACTGAAGAACGCCGCCTCAGTCCCCACACCCCCAGCCTTACCGGCCACATCCCTTGCTGAGAAGTTACAGACACGCAAACATTTGCTGACCTCCAAACTGTGTTTTGAGCAGACTTAGTCACCACTACACTCAAAGCCCTAACACAGCCCGTCAGTGTTAACAGGACTGCCTTGACAGACGAGAACGTCAACCTGGGATCTGGCCTCTGTACTGCCTGAGTCTCACATCAGTGTCCGTTCTAGGAAACGAGGCATTAACTGAGGCACCACAGCAGCACACAGCAGCACGTGGACTGGACTTGGGTCTGCTTGCCTGATCGCAGCCACTTAAACCTGCCATCGAGCACTAAAGGAAAAAAAATCAAGACAGGACTAGATTCAGTTATGCTTCCATAGAGGTGCAGTGCTGTTAAGAACTGAAATGATGCTCCGCAGGAGTTTGCCAGTGCACAGGGACCGCAGAAAGCGTGTGAAATCCACACGGAGCTTCTGCTGCCTCTCTTTTCTCTTTCACTTGAAAAAAAGTTCAATTTCAGAGAACAGCTATAACTTGAGAAGAGGGAAGACCCCAAACACACTTTACACAAGAACTATTCACAAATGTAAAACTTTCTGGTTTGAACTCATGACCTTTAAAAAGAAACTACACAATATACAACTGTAGAATATTAAAAATATTAAGAAGTTATCTTTACTAAGCACTTACTAAGTACTGGGGAGAGGAGAGAACACTGTACCTACGTTATCCCATTT